ACTACTGCTACTAGAGTCCTAAACTACTAGGGCTACCTTTCACATTTTTATACAAACAAGGTACTATTTTCTGTTAAGTTTTCAATCACAAATCAGCGCATAAGAATTAAATACATGTATGATACCAACTAAGCTAAGAACATTCAAATCATCTCCTGATACAGTGATATGAGCATAGTCAAATTAGCTACTGGATTAGCACTTAGATACAGAGTACACTCAGATAATGATAATTTAGAGTTTAAAGTATTGGGTAAAGAACTAGCATGTACCTCAATAGAATCAGATGATTTTCCTTGCAAAGTCGATCCTTTCATGCTTAGCTCTAGTCTTTCCAGTTCAGCTTCAAGCTCTGCTTCAATTTTACTCATGGAGTCAATTTTTTCCAGGCTTACTGATTCTTCATCGGCATATCTTATCGGCACACTTGTATCATCTAGGTTAGAGTACAAACTCATTTTATCATGACCACACAAACTTTCAAGTATATCCTGTGAGTCGTCGTCATTGGCAAGCTCTTTAACAGTTAATGAATCTTTCATCTCCAGTTCTTCCTGAAGATCTTCAACCAAATTTTCAGTTTGCTTTAAGCTCTCCTTCAGCTTTTGCACTTCCATTTTGTCAGCTATCATTGTACACATTACACCGATTGAAATTCCAAAACAGAAAAGAGCTTGCCTACTTGAGGATCCTGATAGAAATGACAACTTCAGGGTAAGAAACTGGAAAAAATGTCATCATTATCAAAAGGTCAATGATTCAGGATATAAGTCATGAAGCTATCAAACATATGATGAAAGCAACAGGCAGCCTAATAAAATTTACAAGGATAATGCCATCCGATAGATGGGCCAGAAAGATTATCAGCAATAAGTTGATGACAAACATAGAAGACAAATTTTGTATGGATTATCATATTGTCCAAAGCACAATCACCATAGGACTTAGTTACACCGCCATAGGTGCGTTTCTAGGAATTATATGGAATATTATGCATCTTATAATTCTTATCTACGATTTCTATATTATTCCATACTAATTAATATCAAGGCTAGAGCTGCTTTAAGATAACAATCCACCTAGTATTCCTTAATAAATGCAAGTCATATCTGTGCTTTGGGGCAAATCTCTCAAGTCTCAATAGCCATTCTTGCTTGCTCTCTCAATCCACATCTTCAGTATCTACCCACCCTCATATCTAATGGCGCAGTATCAACCCAAATTGTCTCATCTTAATATCTTGAAATATAATTGTGTGCTCCGCATTTATACATAAGCAACTAAAGCAAATTAATTATCCCCCCTTGTCCAGTTATTACAGTTTTTGGAGACAAACATTAAAATCTTCGACCACTTTATTCCAGATTACTATAAATTGGATAATCAGAACAATTATAACCCAGAATAATGGATCTCAAAGACTGCAAAAATGTGAATATACTGAATTATAAGGTAATGGAAACACAAGCACCTGATGCGAATCCACCTTTCATGTGAGATTATCAGCAGAAACTTATTGAGACAGTTTTCCAAAATAAATAACATAGAATTAAAGTAAATGAAAAAAAAGTCGGTAAAAAGAAAATAGTACCATCTCTTGTGTCCAATTCAAATGATTTGTTGGAATTGCTTGATTTTCCCATTTGATTCTTGCCTGTGCTAAACTTTTGTTTCGAGTAACCAGTTTTAATGATTTGTGGAAGATGAGGAACCCCAACTACATCATCACCTGCTTTTGGGCGTATGTCCTTGTGCAACTCATTTCTGAAATCATTACTTGCTCTACTAATTACTTGTCTTCCATCACTGACAAGAAATGGCCTCAAAGCGGGAGCACAAGGTGAAGAAAGTGGTGTAAGAAGATATTCTTCCATTTCGGAACGTTCCCTTTGCATCTGAGCCACAAGGCAACTATCTAAAGAAGTACGTGGATTAATATATTGCAAAGAGTGATGTTGGAGACGTCTACTTCTCAAGCGTTTACTGCTTCTTCTGGAGCTAGGTGAAACCCCCATTTCCCAAATGTTGTATTCAGGTTTATCCGGAATGTCAGCATCTAACCTATACCCAACATTGTACTCCTCAAACTTATCAATTTGTTTCTCATGACCCATTGCCTCAGTACCAGCTACATCATTAGCGAAACGATCATCCCTCCCCAATGTCTCCGTAAACATTCCATCCGAATGGCTACCCTTTCCAGGATCACTGAAACATTGCCCTCCTCTTTCTGTTCGTGAGGGTTTGCGGCTAGGCAATGTCTTGCCACCTACCGGTTGAATCAAAGACGGCGATTCAGGATTATCCGGAAGTGAACTCCCAGAAGGACTACCTGATGAGCCTTCTTTATCACCTAAAACATTCTTCCAGTACTTAGCTAAGTATCCAGCACCAGTAGCAGCTGCCACAACCCACAAATCCATTTGCATTTTCCTCTAAACACACAATATGCTACCCAAATTCTACAACACTAACAATCATCTTTGCTCCAATTCTTTGTGTCCAAGTGCCATGGCATACAATTTTCACAAATCCCATAATCTCAATTAAACAAACTCCATTTATTACAACCAATCAAATAAGCAAAACCCTGAAATACATCACCATTTCCTAATTCCAAACAATTTCCAATGTCATTTTCATATGAACCCAGATAAAAAAATCCCTAAATTGTACCAAATTATCAAATGCAACCCAATAATCCAATCAAATTAGTCAACCAAAAGAGCACAATACCATATAAGAACAAAATCTCAAAAACAAATATCACGAACCCTAATTTCACTCAGTAAGATACCCAAACTAAATACGAGAAAGACCCTTTACCAAACAGAAAAATGGAACCACCCAACAGTTTTTTTTTATGAACAAGAATCAAAAATTTGAAAAATACCCACTTGAAAGAGACAACTGTAGGTGATGCTGATGAACTTAACAAAGAAATTGAAATTCCTGCAATGGCTCCTTTTCATCAATTAATGCTCAATAAAAATAGACTTATTAAGAGAGAGAAAGAGGATCACTTTATTGTAGAGAGAGAGTACTCAAAGGTTTGGTAAGCCTAAGCCAAATCTATGACATTGAAACTTTGAAAAACTAAAAATAGAGATGTTCTGATTTTTTATTTTTTTAAAAAAATATATTTTTATTGAGTAATTGGACATAATTAAAAAAACCCAATTTGATAATGTTTTGACGGTTGAGCTCGAATTGTAAATGGAAAGAAAAATGAAGAAGAAATTAAGGAAAAAGGTGAAAAAGGTCAAATGAAAAAAACAAATTAATGTGGGAAAAAAATACAAGGCTTCTTTACTTTCAGTATTTTGTGTCATTGTGTAGTTGTGTGGGTGAGTTTGTTATAGCCTTATAGGTGTGAAAATCTCTAATGCTAATCGCAAAATGGGGGAATAGAGATGAAAAGAGAAACACGTGTGTAGTGTGTTATGGTGAAAGATAAAGGAATTAATAGTTAGATAAATTATATGAGTATTCTCGTAAGAAAAAAAATAAAATTATATGAGTATTGCATTATTTTGCAAGTTTTCTAAAAGGATAACATTGCGATAATTACATAACGAAGAAAATGTGTAGCACATAATCTTGCATTTTAAACAATTAAGAATGGAGTACAGAGTAGTTAGTTAGCGAATTATTGACTTTATTAGCGAAATGCCGAAATTTATCTTTTATGGTTAGATTTTTTTAGATCAATTTGAAATGTATTTAAAATTTGATTTGAGGTTTAAATATTTAAGATTTTACAATAAAATAATCATAGGATTTGTGGAGACAAAAATAAAAAACCATTTGGAAAGTAAAACAAAATTGTATCATAGAAAGTCACAACTCCACAAGGAAAAGAAGGGATTATAGTCTTTTGTTTTCAAACGATTGTTTCAATCAAACTAAATTCACAAAAATAACTTATTATCCATTTGAATTACACAACTTTTTGTAAAATTTGATGCAAAAAAATTAATCAAGTTATTATGGAAACATATTATTAAAATTGAAAAATTAAAAGAAACTTTTTTCATTATTGATAATATGACGTAACACGTAGAAATTTTTTTCAAAGAGTATAACAACCTCCTTATTGGGTAAATCTTTTGAGAGAGTAAAAACTCCATCATTTTAGTAAATAAAAAATTTTATGATGGAATTTAGTAACCCCCAATTATTAACGTGATCAATACATTGATGGTTTGAACAATGGATAATGTTTTATGCCATTTTTTTTTTTGAGAAAAAAAAAGAAAAAAAAAAACTCTTTTACTCCATTGTTATCAGCACGGTAAGGGCAACTGGTCCCCAACCGAGGCTCCCATCATAGAAAGCTTAACTGACAATGCCCGAAAACAAGGAGATGGGATTTGTGACTGATGAAAATCGAACCTTACACCTCAAGGATGCAAGGCGACCTCTGGGTCACTGCAGCAGAAGGTCTAATAGTTGTCAAGATTTCCAATTGTACTTAATTGTGTGTCCATGCCAACAATTAGATGGAAAAGTTATCATTATGAGATTTATGACAAGGGTCACCACCAAATATCTAACTTGATAAGCAAGTAAGCAACCCACAAATGAATAATCAATGTGTCATCCAGGGAAATAATCGATATCAATGGTCCGGTGGGCTGTGGGGAGTACTAGGCTATCAAAATACGGAGTATTTTCTAGCTATACGAAATAGTGTACCATTTGAAAATGTCTGCTCTTAATGTGCGTTTAAAATGAACACAAATATCTCTCCGTACTAATTAAGTAATTAGTATGAACAAAGAAGTTTTTAGGCACCACCGTACCAATAATGCTGAAGGTTTTAGGTGTTTAGGTAACACCGTACCAACAAAGAAGTGTATTGATATTTAACTTACTTGACTGAGCAAATGTTTCGATAAACCTTCTCAAGTAAAATCCTAATTTATATATAACTACTGTAATTCATTCTGGGCTTCTCTACTTACATTTCACTACTCTAGCAACAAACGGGAGCCAAGCTACAACAAAAGTTTATTTCCATTCATTGCTGATTAATCATATTCCAAACACCATACAGATATACTCCGTTTATAGGAATGAAATACAAAAACTAATATATTCAACGTAAATAGTAAATACAACTCAACATGGAACAGCTTGCATGAACCTGTCTACTAGTCACTTGTTAGAAGATTTTACCCATCTTCGGTGGTGTACACCTTTAAAGTAGGAGGGTTATGGACGGTGTTGCAGCTGATGTGTTATGTATATTTTGACTGAAATAAAACCCTCTACACTTCCTCACTCTCAAGAGGCACCGGACGAGCAGGAAATGAGCAAAAAAAGGTGATAATTTTTCTAGAAGGCGAAGCTAGTCCAGGGAATTGATAAGATCTTTAAAATTAAAAACTAGCCAGTCAGCTTTCGCAGCAACAGCCTCTCGAAGTTGAACTCCAGCAAAGCAGATGAACAAATCAGCACCCCCAGGTTGACGAGCCTACAGTTGCACAAAAACCGAGTCATATTTACTTGACACATAAAAAAATAAACCCTTAAGAAAATACGCCACAAAAAGACACTATACAGTATCAAATAGCCAGATGCCATGCACAATGTAGAAATCTTTTACTCTTTTAGCAAATCATAACCACTTTGCCATGATGCTGGTTGTCGAGATAAAGAAAATCTGAACAACTGTAAACCTGTAACGCTCTCTCATATTACATGTCCTCTTAACTTTTCAGTCAAAGTTTGCAAATTTTAATTGGTACCGCGTATGATCTTAAAGCATCTTCAAAACACTATGAAGTTTAAAACACACACACACATTCACCAGATTTTTTTTAAGAAGCATAGGTTGGGGAAAGCAATGAACCTTGGATCAGTAGGGCACAAAAGAAGGGCAAAAATATTTTAAACTGATATAGGAATCAAAACAAGAAGGAAAGTTCCCTAGCAAGGATGGAACAATTTAACTCAAAGTGGCTGGGGTTTAGAAAGTTAGAGCTAACCCAGACTGGTCTGAAGATAAAGGGTTACTTGATACAAACTCAATTCCACTTTTGAACCCAATAGTTTGATGGATTCTTAATATGCAATTAATTAAACTATTAACTGGAGATTTCCACTAACTAGCACCAAGATTGGGACAGCTAAAAGCCATCCGGGATCATTAAATGCTCTAAAACATCCTGGTCCTTCAGATCAACAAAAATCAGCAAGTAGTACTGAAATCTAAATCGTAAGTGAGGTAAAATGAAATGTTGAAATGAATTATTACCTCAAGATCCGTAGCTCCATCACCAATCATGGCTAACGTGTTGTACCCACGAGCCTGAAATTCAAGATAAGTAATGGTCCATAAGTATTTCTTTGTAAATCAATTATTAAAAGGGCAACTAAACAAACCTTCCGTATTTGTTGAACTGCTATGGGTTTTCCTCCACTCCTTGAAGTAGGCTCATTTTCATCGAACCCTAGAAACTCTCCAGAGTCTCCAAAAAGCATTTGATTGGCAAAAATGTTTTCGAGTGGAATTTCAAGGATTGATGCAACAGGCTTCAGGATGAGAAATTTGTAATGAATAATTGGAAGACAAATTGGAAAAACATGACCAAAACTATTGAAGCTATCACAATTAGATATTGAGTCAGCAGTGCTAATTAGTGATAAAGGTTCATCCAATTATTTATTTTTGTAATGGTAGTGAATACTGGATAGCATACATTAATCATCTGACGGAAGCCTCCTGAGACTAGATAAACATCAATGCCCTTAGCCTTAAGCTTCTTAACCAGCTCTGCTATGCCAGGAGATAGTCTGTTTATCAATAAGGTTGGATGGTCAATGATACTATTTACAAAATTTAAAAGCAAGATTCATAATCACAGAGTGCACATCAAAGAACAATACCAGTAGAAAGTCTATATTAATAAGCTTCAAATATTATCGTTTAAAACAGGAAACCATCGACTCCATTATACAGTAGTCAAGTTCTAGGCCAACAAAGACCATCAATCAATAAAGAAAAATTTCTATGTTGTTACATGCAAATTAAAATTAAAAATTAGGATAAAATTAAACCAAAGAAGATGATCGTATCCACAATGTCAACACATTTGTTCCAGAATTTCCATGGCTAACAAAACGAAGAACAATAGTGAAAAAGTCAAAAGGATAATAATACTTTAATCCAACAAATGGGGTCTGTTATTTTCACACAGATCCTGAGATACATAAACCACATGGCATTCAGCTTATCAGAGAGTTATGAAGTTATCAGACTATTAATTTAGACACGCAGATCAAACAAAAGCGGACATGGGCAAGGACAATTGTACAAGCAGACATATTACTCTGTCTAATTGTCTATACTATATACATCAGTGGCTATGTCTGTGTCAACTGGGTGATCCAAGTGGATCAATATTCCATAATATTTCAAGCCAAGCTAAGAGGATGACATCTTGGAGTTTTTTTTTGCAAGTTAGTTCAACTTATTTTTACTTATTTCAGAAAAAATATGTTCGGATCAAATCATCGTTTTATGTGCAATTTTTTATCGCTAAATATCTTTAATTTCGTAATGAAAAAAATAATGAAAATTACATATTAATAAAATCAGACAATCAAATCAGATCAGATTTGATATATTTTTTCCTTACATATTATCATACACTTAAGGTCAAAGTTTGGTCAAATCAGACAATCAAATCAGATCAGACCAGATAAGAATTTAGTTCAGTTCAGTTCAATTCAGCAAAAATAAGGTGAACTAAACAGGGCCTTAGTATATAAGGCATTTGGATAAAAGACATCATAAGAATTATGTAATATAACTGACATTAGTTCATCCACATATTTGTTATTGGCTTACCTTGGAGGCCTCTTTTCTAGGTAATCCTGGAGTTGGGAAAGGGTTGGGTTTATTAAAGATAGCCTAGCAGCTAATGCCTCTTGGAAGGTAACTGATCCATTCATTGCTCTGCGGAAAGAAATGCAAAAACTGAATCAACATCTATTAAAAAGTTAAAAAAAAAAAAAAACCTCCAGGGTCCTTCACCGTGTAAGTGTAAAGTCAACCTTGATGTCCACTCAGCAACTGCTTTCCCAGCTCCGCAAAACTCGGCAAATTCATCAATACCTTCATCTACGCACACAGTGCTATCAACATCAAAACAGACAGCATCTACATTTCTCCACAAGTCAAGTACTTCTGCGAATTATGAAGGAAAAAAAAATGTCACTCACAGGATAATCATAGAAACAACAATCATGGAGAAATCAAGTTGTAAGCTAACAAGAATAGAATGATGAGCAAAGTACAAGTATTGTGATAGGCCTATTCTTATGCATCAAGTATACACTGTACTAGCCTGCATGGAAATGTCCTAGTGGTGTATATGACTCTTCAAATTGATGCTTCTTGATAGTTTTTTGTTTTAGACAAACTGCAGTTAAATCAATCTTCATGATTGAAAACAAACCCAGGTAAGCATAACAGAGAAAACATATAATTCACCAGAAAATAAATTTCACCTCTTTTAGAGGGAGAAGAGGGAAAAAGAAAAAAAAAGACAAAAAAACTGATTCTGGTTCTAAGATGATCTTCCTATCAAAAGGATAGGGGTAACTGTTATGCAAGCCTTTATTTAGTTTGCAAGACTGTACTAGCCTAACAATTAAAAAACTCTAGAGTTCACATAACTCTTTCATTCAGTAAAAAGGTTTTGTCGAGAAAAAAGAAAAAGCTTCAAATGGTTGTTACCCAAGTTTTGCCCAAAGATAAGTGTTCAAGGGAGAAGGGGGACGAAGACAAGCTAAAAACACTATTCTACTCCCAACAACAGAAATAAATGCCTAATAAGGTCATTAAAGATTTTAACGTAACAGTTCATTGAAAACCTTTGGATGGTAGCGTGTTGTCAAACCGTTCAGTGGTTGAAGCTTCAACAGGCTGGATTGAAGCAGCAACTGAATTTGTCAATTTAAAGCTCTTCATCATCCCAAATGCACTCCGATGTAGCTTTCCATTTAATCTTGGAGAAGAGGGAGTGAATAAAGAGTAATTAAACTGCTTTACATGACAAACAGGAACTTTTACAACATGTGCACTCAAGAAGGCTTCCATCTGTTAATGCAGAAGGTTTAATATAGTTTTTAAGAATAGAGAAAATGTGCACGATATGCATAAAGTTTTAAAAAATAAAGCAAGATAGCACGTACTGAAGTCATATACTTCATCTACTAAAAGTTAGCACACAACACTTCTATTTTTGAAGACTAGATACCACAAATCAACAACACAATGTAAGAGAACTATCACCTGCTATAGTAAATGAAACCCACTTCAGAACTGATCAATTCATAGTAATAAAAATACAGGTAACCATTCCTGGTTCGTATCTTGGTAAATTCTCTTTATTGGTCACCCAAAAACTAATAAGAAACAGGTGGAGTCAGCATTTGGAGAGATATATCATACAAAGCCTTACCAGACTCCTTAAGAAACACCCTAAAAAATATAACAGGAAGTAGCTCTCCCATTAAAATATTGAGATATAGCAGTCCAAAACGCTCCTATTACCAAGCTAGTTCAATCCTTTTACCAGGATAAAATTTAAGCGATTTCTTTTCAAAAGAGGATTGAAGATCCATGTCCAGCATACTAAATCATTTAGCACTTCTTCCCCAAAAAAGCAACTCAAAACTCGCAATCTATTCATCACCAGTAGTCTATGATGCATGGAACCTCTCTTGAAGGTCATGATTCCTGTTTCGTAAACTCGAGGAAAATCTTAAGAAATCCTTATTTTAAAATGACACCCAATTTCTTCCCCAATCTTTAAAGTCTAAAAATGAACATTTCTTTTAAAAATCCACACTTACAATATAATTCAACCTATCAATCATAATTATTACGGAGCAGGCCCGTCCCTGAGGAAGGGCAGGAGGGGCGGCAGCCCTGGGCCCAGGGAAAAGATCTCTGATTTCATAGTTGAATCCTAACATTAAAGTGTTGTGCAATACATTAGCAACCAAATTTGATTCATTTATCTCATAATTTTAGGGATATTTGATATGATCATAACAAATACAAACAACTTACCTCAGAAGCTGCTTCAATGGGGGATACAAGAACTAGATTCAACGTCGAACGGCAACTGCGCTTCAATGGAGAATGTTGAATGCGCTTCAATAGAGAAATTCAATGGGTTGGATGCCTTGGATCCCTGTTAAACGCCATGACCCATGACCCGCCACAATTATTAATGGGTTAGATCCGTCTGATAAATAAATGGGCTAAGTCTTTATACGACCGTTCAATTATGGGGCGGGGTAGACCTTTTAAGGGTTAAGAGTAAACCTGTTTTAAAAAGTACGGAGTATTATTTTATCTCTACACTTTTATTTCTCAAATACTATCTTCACACACCAAAGCTTGTATAATTTGTTTGTTGTTATGAAATTAAAGAGAAAGTGAAAGTAGAGGAGAGAATAGCTTCTCTATATTTATTACTCAATGACATATATATATATATATATATATATATATATATATATATATATATATATATATATATATATATATATATATACATGTGATACAATTAGAGTTTCTTTGTAGAATAATAAACATAGTAAATCTAGAATATCCTAGAATTATCATAAAGGTATACTGGGCATCCACTAAATACATATATTATATAACACTCCCCCTTGGATGACCATTATTAAATAATGTGCCTCGTTAAAACCTTAATGGGGAAACCCAATGGGATAAAAACCCAGTAAAGGAAAAAGAGTACAACACTTTCATAATGCGCCTTGACATACTGGCTCGTTAAAAACCTTATCAGGAAAACCCAATGTGGGACAAAACCATGGTTAAGGGAAAAAGAGTGCAGCGCGTATTTTTTCCCCCTAATGAATGCATAACTTGAGATTTTCCAATGTAATGATCCAATGCCTTATTAACTTCACACTTGTAGCTGAATAACATTCCTTGATAGTTGATCCTCCCTGGTCAAACTTGAATCTTCACTGTAAAGCATCTTCATTTATCCATACTTGTGAGAACAATACCTATGTTGCGTTTACCACTATCTTATATGACATTTTGTTTCAAGTTGCCTTACCATCAAAATTATGCCTACTTCTGGATGTCGTAAAAGTAGCTATTGATAATCAAATATTGATAATAATTTATGGCAATCGTGATATCTTGATATCATTATCTAAGCTTATATGAATTAGTAATAATATAACAAAAGTATTATTATATACTTTACTCATGATTCTTATGGACCATAAGAAGATGATTCTTACTATAATATATCTCATTATTATTCTTTTGTAGACATTTTGCATTTTATACGAGAGTTCTCCAATGTGTACAAAATCGATTAACTCTCACTTGGTTAAACTTCAGGTTGATATCTCAATAACTTAGTCACCAATACTCTCCATGAGTTTGATAACAATATTAACATTGTCATTTTTTCAGAATATAGAATTTGAAGGGCTAGATATTTGAATACGTTGTATATAAGCTCTGCGGGAACTTTTCATGCATGATTCATAACATGCTATTGGATCGTCATCATATAAACTTTCTTCACAATTATAAGCCCATCGGAGTATAAATTTCTTCTTGTAAGCGTTCATCATAATTATAAACTCGTCATACCATAAACATTTACATATGACACAAATGATGTATAGAACTAATGCATGCAATATGAGATGTAGAATTCATGGTAAAACATTAAACAAAATATATATGTGTAATGAGTAATGCATCAAACTACATCCTATACATACAACGAGTAATTCATAAATTTAAAACTCAAACATGCACATAAATAAAAGACTCAAAAATGCAAACACTGTACAGTGTGGATTTCAGAAATCCATTTTCTAATTGGACTACTAGTCCATGATAAATTTTTGATCATTAGCATTCATATTTTATTGGACTTATTGTCCTCGATAAGATATTGATTTATTATCTTAGTTTCATGTCGACATCCAAATGGACATATATTTCTGATCCCTTATGCACAAGTCCATTCCTTCTGCATATGCATATTATATATCGGTTCCATCATATACTGGTATCATATAATTTCTCAAGATACAATTTTTAATTTTCATGCTATTTTGACAATGATATCTGAATACGTGTCTCATTGGTATCATCATAACTTTTCTTACATCATAGGCCATCTATTGTAATAATTCAGATATCTGTACCACTTTTAGGGTATTTCATACATTATGGTATTTATATACTATCACAATAATAAAAGTGTTAACTGCACCATCTTCCACATATCATATCTTTATTTTGGAATCGATCATATAACCCATACTTCAGGTGTAGTGATTCAAGTATAATTGATAAGATTTTATCTCAATGTATACACATAATATGACCAAAATGTATCTTCAACGCTATGCAACATGAGTCATAACTGAATACAAATGAAATCATAAATGTGCAACATATCTTGATAATATATAGACAAAAGTTGGCATATAACTTTTCAAACTACCATTATAAGGATCATCAAATTCTTTTCGATTTTCCAACTTTTGCTGATTCTTCTCCCCCTAAGTTGGTAAAATATCTCATTTATAGGGGCGTCTAATTCTATACCAACTTAGTATATAAATTTGCATTAAAATTCATTTCACGCGAGGATCACAATCAAAATTTATCTCTGAGAAGATTTGTATTAAACAACATGTATCTCTTCTAGAGAAGAATTTCAATGAAGAATACTTTTTTCATTAACTTTACATTGCATGTGTATTTATTATTATAATTTCCATAATATCTTCTCTTCTGGAGATTAATGTCAATGGGGAGACATGTGTTGTGTAGTTGTACGTTTTTCCTTCTTCTCCTCTTTATGATGTGCTGACATATAATAGCCTCAATCAAAAGAATTGGTATACAAGCGTAAATCACTTGCTTGTAATTCTACTAGATGGTGATCTTCTGGATCTTTGAAGACTTAAATAGTGTATTTGGTGAGTTTCTGGTCACCTAATACTTGACAATAATATATAAGTTATTTTGGTGAACTTCTGGTCACCTATTACTCTTTCGTATATATAAAAATCAAAACCTATTATCTCTTGAAATTTTCATAAACACAAATTATTATAGCTCAATCTCAATGTTATGTCTTGCCATTTAATTCATTTCATATATCTAACATTGAGAGAGTGTCAGCACATTATCATATGAAACTTCAGGTTTCCATAACGGGTATTTATATAATCCCGGATGGCCTAATTTTTTTTTTTTTAATTATCACATCCAATCACTTTTTCCTTTAGTATTTAAATTATGGTCAGTTATATAATAATGGTGATAACCTTATTAGAGATACTTTATGCATGACCATGAGTATGATGTGATATAAGTACACCAATATGTTTCTTTCTACAATTAGCAAGACAATTAACTAATACTCACACTCCACTGGAGGATTGATTGTAATCTTGATACATGCTAATCTTGTTGGACAACATTTTACACTCTTCTGGAGTATTTATATAGTCATAACACATTTTAATGTACTAGAAATGATCTCTTCAGGAGATCCATCAAAATGTGTCACTTTCTCAAATTTGTCATTGTCAATTATTGCTAATTTCCTCTTCCTATGATTCTTACCGTTGTTACCCTTTGGATTACCACACTTAAGGTGTGCTAGTTTCAATAGCAACTGATCTTGTCCTTTTAGGACATCAACTTAATATGTACATTTATAGTTAGTATATAGGTAATGACATTTATTCATATCATGTGGCCACCTCTAAATCATTGATATTTAGGCTAGTGGGATGTACCAAACTGACCAACATATTTAATTATTCATGTGCAAGGATTACATAAAAACCATGGAAGAAACACTATCTCCCCCTAATCCTTGCATATGGGGGTATAAAAATAGTCCAACAATCTTTAAATCCTTTGCTCCTTTTAAGTCATAAATTCTTATAGCAATGCATGTATCAAACAAAGCAAAGTTATTCTTTTTCTCTTGCCCAATTACATGAATCTTTATATTGAAAATTCTCAAAATATGGGCATAGTGAATACATTATTCAACTAATTAATTAATCTTTTCACATTGTCATGCTTAGATTAATTTTATTTCAAATGAATATTATGTACTCATGTTTATAATTATTATGAACTTTACATGAATGATAATCATCATGCAACACATGTACCTTTTAATTATAAGGCTCATTCAATTATTGTTCGTGAACTTCTCTGGGAATGAGTAAATTATTTATCAACATTCAATATCTTAAATGTGCACCCAAAAGACAATATTAGAACTGATAAAAAATGTACATATTTCTCTTGACATTGTGTTTATAAAATCACTTTAGTCTTGTGAACGGTGGACATTATCAGATCATGTATATATGACCCTTCATTAGTTTAAGGAGCTTCAAGTCCTTACGTGTGAATAATATTAAAACTGTGATAGTCAATTATAATGCATGTACATGAACAATATCTAGAACTTACCGTCCATATATGGAAAGGAGTTTGCAATTAGTATATTAGTAGTACATTACTTGTTGTCAAATTCATCTTCAAATAAGTGCTAGTTAGCATGAATTGAGGTTGAACGGGCCAATAAAAATATAACATCATGTATATATAAATAATCTCAATCATAAAATTTAAAGTACTTTTAAGAGCTTCAAAGAATCACAAGTAGATCATTCTTCGTATAGAATAGGCCACGAATATTAATCATATACTCATCATAGTATTGAATGATTTTAACAATACCAAGAAGGCTCAAGTAATTAACTAAATTTGAAACCTAAAAATATACTGGATAACATATACAAAAGCTACTTCAAGCAAAATAGGAAACTAAGATCATATATATATAGTTTAAACAATCTATGCAAGCATTACTAAATATTGACTTCTAATTAATAGATTTGACGAATGTATAGAGTATATGGACTTATAAAATATGACAAAATAAATTAGTATCAACAGATTAACCAAAAGTACAATATATATAGCTTAGACGAATGTTAGTGCAAATATAATCCTCTTGCACCCAATTCAATATATCTTAAAATTCTACCAACATACAACTCTTTACACCAACCATTATCATCATCCACAACAAAAGTAAGCCACTTAGGTTTTATTTTTTTTATTGAATTCACGAGAAACAAAAATGATAATATAAAAACCATTGACTAAAACAATTCGATCAGTCAAATTTAACCAAATCAATAATAGGTCCATGAACAATAATCTGTGAGTAAACCACATCATATCAATCATATAATAATCGATATACACCTTAGGTATGCCGTAGAAAAATAAAAAAAACATAGTGATTAATTGCGGCAAAGAGACGCTGCGTGAAGTATTACCTAACTAATAAATTATAATCGTTATAATCATTAAATTCTGGAAGATTTAATTAGTTTGTTATATGATACAATTATGTGTAATATATATAGATATACCAATACATAGCCGCATGCATAGTAGACAAGGCATAATAAAAATTAAGAATTCATACATAGGTGTTACAGACTATTATGATGTAAATAGAAACGATCGCAATTAAAACAAAATAAAGTCTACGTCAACAAAAACTCAAGCAGTAGTACTACTATAAATAATTCATTGGCAATTTACAGTGAACAGTTATTTTATGCATCAAATGTAATCCATTAAAGCATATAATATTAAAAATATGATTACACTTTAAATAAATAAATAAAATTAAATGGTGTCCTTGAATTTTGGGGACTCATATTACGAAGTATATATCATCAAGAATAATTGATGCATGACGAAATATATAAATGAATGTGCGACAATCATGTTTATAATTATATAGCTTCAAAATTCATAATTTAGTAGAAATATAGGGTACCTTTTCTAGCAGAGGAATTGTAACTCGGCTATGGTTGTTCAATAGGTTAGGGCTTGGTGCTGATAACATGTTATGAAATTAAAGAGAAAGTGAAAGTAGAGGAGAGAATAGATCTATATATTTATTACTCAATGATTGATATATATATATATATATATATATATATATATATATATATATATATATATATATATATATATATTTGATACAATTAGGGTTTCCTTGTAGAATAATAAACATAGTATATCCTAGAATTATCATTAGGGTATAATGGGCATCCACTAAATACATATATTATATAACATTTGTAAGTTTTTTTGGTTTTTTATTTTATTTATTTTATATTTTATTTTGAAAACGGCTGAAATTACATTAATTAACTGAGTTTACAACAAAGGAAAGGAAAGTAGGGTAACATAAGTCAATTACAAGTTATCATGTCTTAAAAGTGGTTAGGATGAGTTTTCCTCAAAAAAAATGTGGTTAGGATGACTCTTTTGTCGTGACCATTATGGCAAATTAATTGTGTCATGTGAAGTGTGAACTAAACAATTATATAGGTAGTGTTACCTTTGCGGTTTTAACATCAGATGACGGTTACCTACATTTATTATAAATGCAGTTGCAGACTAGCAAGTGTAGAATTGTATGAGTTAGTTAATTGTATGAGTTAATTAGTGATCTGTGTAAAATAGAAAATTATTAGTGAATAACTTTGAAAGTAACAACTTTAATACTTTCTTTTTTGAAAAAAAAACCCATCTAGATCAACCGAAGAAATTTCCAAAATGCGAGGAGGGATTACATCACTCCACACCCATTGGCCAAACTCCCATGGTTGAAAGTAAGTCAATTTGTGAGCTACATTATTACCCCCTCACTTTTACAAAAGACCATGAATCACTAGTAAAATTAGAAGAAGAAAAAATCTAGAATATTCTTTATAATCAGATGAAAGGAACTGGAGCCATACAGAAAAAAATCTAGAAGATCCTTTATAATCAGATGAAAGGAACTGGAGCCATACAAATGCTTCCTCATTGCCTCAATCACCACCAGAATATCACTCTCGATCCCAATGCAGCTCATACCCTTGTGTCTCGCAATCTTCATGCCCCAAAATACCGTTTTCACCTCTGCAATCTTAGTCTCTCATTTTTCACTCCACTACACCGTAGCTCTCCAAAGCACCACCCCTTCACTATTCCTGTAGACTGCACCCAGGCCCGTCCCCACCTCCCCCAAAACACCAGCATCAACAATAATTTTAACCACACCAGATGCCGGAGGAGACCCGCCCACAGAGACACTCTTTCCACCCCTCCATTCCCCATGTTATTCAACTTTCCCACCCCTCCATTCCCCATGTTATTCAACTTTCCCACCTCATGTCCCTTCGTATTAATCTTCAAAGCATATGCAACAATTTGCTCAACATTCGGATTTTCACCCTCAATCATCCATTTGTTCCTTGCGCCCCACATAGCCCAACACATGGTAATTAAACTAACCATATCCTCTCCAAAATTACCAAAATAGTGCTCCCACCAGTCACCCACACTACAAAGAGAGTGAGACAAAACCATAGAATAATTGCACTTACTCCAAATTGCTCGGGCTAAACTGCAATCTTTTAACGCATGCATGAAAAATTATTCTTCTCCATGGCAAACACCACAAGCTAGTAGCCAGGGCATAAACTAGATACAAAAAAATTAGCTTTAAAATCTTATGTGGCCTAAAAAGCTGATTTGCTAATTAGCTTACCATTGGAGTTGCTCTAATACTCCATCTGTTCCTTCTATTAGATACATTTTGACTTTACACCCTAGTGTCCCAACCAGACCAGCGAACACCCACCTAAACCCTAACTCTAACTCTCGAACCCCACTTATTTGGCGAACTCCCACCTAAACCCCAACCCTTACTCTCAAACCACACTCATGCGGCGAACTCCCACCTAGCCCCAACCTAGCCGATCGATCGAACCCATACAACTCTCATCCACCTTAGTCGGCACAAACCTATGACTAGGAGTGAAAGTTCGGTTTTCGATTTGGTTTATAGCCCAAACTGAAACCGAACCACTCTAATTCGGTTTCTGGATTTTAGAAACCCCACCGCACCACTTTACTTTTGAAACCAAACCAAAACAAACCATATAAATTTCGGTATCAAAAAAAAAAAAAAAAAAAACCGAACCAAACTGAATTTTTTGGGCCTTATTTATTTGGGCTTTAATTTGCAATTTTTGTGGGCTTCCAAACCATATAAACCAATATGAAATATCATATTCATCAACATAGCAGTACTGCAGTAGCATAATCGGATTAAAACAACATTAACAAGTTCTAAAACTTCTAATTCAAAGTTGTAAGGTCAATCTGAAAAACTTCTAATTCAAAGTTGCAAGGCTAATCTGAAAAAAAAAAGAAAAAAAAAAATAAAAATTCAACACTTCATCCAAAAAAAAATAAAAAATAAAAATTGTTCAACATTATAACAATTTTAACAATTGAAACAGCAGTAGCATAACAACAACAAGCAGCAGCAGCATCATAACAACAGCAACATCAGGTCAGCAACAACATCATATAAAAGCAGGTCAGCAACAGCATAGAGCGAGGCATTAGCAACAACAATGAGCAAAGAGTAGCAGCAGAGCCACATCAGTCTAATATTTCAAGCACTTCATCAATATTAGCATCACCAATTTCCATATTCTTCAAGTCTATCATAATTCATAACAAAAATAACCAAGTTAATATATATACATAATGAAAATAAGTAACTTTGATTAGATGTTCTTATATATTACGTTCTTCAAGAAGCTCAACTTCCTCTAAACATTCTTCAATACTTGGAAATGATGAAGCACGTAACTAATTTTGAGCACAAACAAGACCTTCTACAACTCGGGGAGTTAATGCACTCTCAGAAGCTACTGTAGAAACAGGGACAACAAGAACATCACGGGAAATTCTCCCCACAGTAGGAAACCTTGAACAATTGAATTTCCACCAGCTCAAAATGTCAAATTCATCAATATCATCCGCCGTATCCTCCTCCAAATATTTGTCTAACTCTATTTTTGCATCTCCATCTCTCTCACACTTGTGTTTCTTATACTTACTCTTTAAGACTTCAATCCTTCTTATATTTGGGAGACAATGGAGTTTTGTCATCCTTACTTGAAGACACTTCCTCCCTATTCACATCATTAGATGAAGAAACACTATACTCCTCATACAAAGCATTCAAAGCTTCCTTCACATTTTTAACCAACTTTGATGCAACAATAGGATCATAAATTTCAGTTATCATCCACTCAACATAATCAAGCTTATAATAAGGATCAAGGACAATATCAATAAAAATCAGGAGGTTTATTTTTCCCGGATCACCCCAATACTTTTCATATTTTTCTTTCATTCTACAAGCAATAAGACACATATCCAGATCATCACTTGAAACCAAATCTTTCAAAAGTACAGCAACACTCACCAATTCATGAAAAAACAAATTCAAAGTGACATATAGAGAGCCAGAAACATGCAAGGTCAGTCATAAAAGGCTTGTAGAAATTCAGAAAATCTTCTCACATTATTCCAATCATCAGAATCAGGGCTACCCTTACCATCCATCTCATTCAAATCAATTACATAGTGAGGGTCTTCCTCAGAATACCTCTCAAAAAGTTCAATAGCAGCATTCAACATCAAATAGGTAGAGTTCCACCTAGTAGGCACAATCCCCTTTTTGTGTTGATTTTTTCATCTAAGACACATTTTTTAAGCCTTTGCAACCTAGCAGGAGATTGTTTGATAAACTTAACTGCATGCCTAACACATTGAACCGACTCATTAATTATTTTCAACCCATCAGAAACAACCAAATTGACAATGTGTGCAACACAACGCATGTGAATGAAACGACCCTTAAGAACCCCAATTTTCCATCCATTCATTTTCCTTATCATATACCCAATTGCAGTATCATTTGAGCTAGCATTGTCAACAGTTATGCACATGACTTTTTCAAGCCCCCAATCAAGCAAACACTTTTCAATTTCTTTGCCAATATCATCACCCTGATGACTAGGGGTGAACACTACTGGGTACCCGGTGTAAAACTAAAGACCCGAACCCGGAATCGGTTAGTACCGGGTCTAATATTTTGGAACCGGACCCGGAACTGGTAACAACCGGGTCCCAACATTTGAGATCTGAAACCAGAACCGCTGGGAACCGGTTCCAAAACGGGTACCCAGTTTGATATGTTGCGTTTCTAGCCATTAAATAAAAAAATAAAATAAAAAAAAGTCAAAATCGGTGATTTCTGAGCTGAATTTTTCAACGAAGCTTTGGATGAAGACGACGAACTCGGAGGTGAAGGATCTACAACGTTCACAAGACCTGCCATTATCGCAACTCCACCTCCTCTCTATGTCCAATTCCCGTTAATGGCGTTGCCATTTCTGAAAATTCTCCAGAATTTCTGTATCAAATCACTAAATTCAAAACCCTTGATTATTCAATCCACTATATACTATGATTACTATTTTCGCAAAAAAGATACCTGATAAGTGATTGGTTTACTTCTTTATTTCTTTGTAGGTTCTACAACTTCTGTAGGATTTTGCTAAGGAATTGGTTTACTTCTTTATTTTTTTTTGGGAGAAATGAATGAATTATCTTTGATTTGGTGGTAAGATTGACTGATAGAGGAGAGAGAAAGAGGGGTGAAAAGGGTAATAAGAAGAAGATAGAGAAATAGAGAAGAAGATAAAGAGAAGGGAAAGAAGAGAGAGAAAGCAGAGAGGATTAGAGGATAGAGGAAGGAGGCGGCTGGTAAATGTTAGGGTTTGCATTTTTTAGGGCTGTATAAGTTTATATATATGGGGTATGGGCTTAAAAAAAACTTAAAATTTATAACTGAACCGGGTACCTAGTGGGTACTGGGTCTGAAATTTCAGGACCCGGACCCGGAACCGGTTACAACCGAGTCCGACATTTTGGACCCGGTCCCGGAACCGGTGAGACTAGTTCTGGGTCCGGATCCGATGGGTCCTAACCGGTTCTGGGTACCCTAGGTCTTTGCTCACCCCTACTTATGATTAGAAATAGGACAAAAATTCAGAATTCTTTTGTGTAATTTCCAATTATTATCAATAAAGTGGACAGTCAAGCACATGTAATTGATTTGTTGTATAGAGATCCATGTATTAGTGGTTAAAGAAACTCTTGAATTACACCTCTTTAACACATATTTTAGCTTTCGTTTTTCAGTTAAATATGTTTCAAAACAATCTTTGGCTACTATAATTCGAGAAGGAACATTAACTTTAGGTTCCATTACACCATAAAAGTGTCTAAAACCTATACCTTCAACAAACTCAAATGGAAGTTCATCAACAATCACCATAAATGACAAAGCTATTACAAGCATCAAATTTGTGGTATGTCAACCCACTAGTACCACCACTTGATACTTTAGCACTTTTGAATGAAAGCATACTTTGTTTTGAATCTTTAGGGGTGTTAAAGGGATACTTACGACATCGCGAAATATGAGCCCATAACACACTAGTACCGTTTTTTCTTTGCCCCACACTTGTAGCTCATCCCATAATACTTGCAAGTTGCCTGCCTTCCAGAAGGTAAATCTTCTTTAACAAAGTGCTCCCAAACTTCAGAGCGCTCTTTCATCCTCTTCCTTTTTGCTCCCTCTTCTTTTTTTTGATTTTGAGAGACTTGGTTAGTCTCATGTTTGGATTGAGGCTGGTCAAGAACACTACCCACATTGGTTGCCATTGGCCTAGGACATAAAAAAAACCAAATTAATAGAGCAAAGCAATAGCAGACTACAACAGCAGTGAGAAAAACAGTAGCAGTTTAGCAGAAAATTAGTAATTATTCGAAATTCTTCTTATTGTAGTCGTTATTCGTTAATCAGTAATTCAAGGATTGTTCGAAAATAATTCAGAAATTGTTCTAAAATCAGTAATTGTAGTCGTTAATTCAATTTCTTAACCTAATCTATACTTTCCTAAATATTTTTCATCAATTTATGAAATTATGAAGAATAATCGCACTATCAACATGAACATGAAGCATAATTGCATGAACATCAAGCATAATTGCAAGTATAATATGTAAATCAAGCATAATTGCATGAACATCAAGCATAAATGCATAATTGCAAACATAATCGCAATTCGCAAGTATAATCGCAATTGATATGCAAAGATTAAAACTTAAAAGCAAACCTTTGGACGGTGGAGTGGGTGGACCGTGGACGCTGGACGGTGATCGGACGCCGGTGGATGGTGGTCAACTGGTCGGATGTCAGTGACTCAGTGAGTACAAGAGTAGGTGAGTAGGAGGAGAGTGAGAGGCTGAGAAGGATGAATGTTAGATAAGGTTTTTTTTTTTTTTTTTTTTTTTTGCTTTATATACTTGGTCAAAATCAGTGTTGGGCTAGGGGGTTTGGGCCGAAATTTCGGTTTACCAATTTCTCAAACCGAAAACCGATTTTTTTTTTTCAAAACCAAACCAAACCACTTTCGAAAAAAAACCGAACCATATTTCTTGTTCACTTCGGTTTTCGGTTCGATTCAGTTTTAAACCAAATTAGTTTCACCCCTACCTATGACCACCCAGCTCTCCGCACCAAACCCGATACCCCAGTCTTTTTTAAAAAATATTTATTATAATTAAAATCAAAAATAATTTTTCGTATTTAAAATTAACATTAAGCTATATTTTGTTTTTAATTAAGTCAATTCTTATTTAATTGAGAGTTAATTATAGTATAAGTCAATTGATGTCTTGTTTGACCCGTCACAAGTCAAATCTAGTACTTCAATTATTTATGGAATATAGACATCAATGTTAGACTTATTTTTTAATTTATTAAAGTTGACTTAATATTGGAAGATCACCTAAAGTTCGACTTATTGTGGTTATTTTGTTCATTATTTTATTATATTAGACTTTCCTTTTATTAATCATCTGTATATGCATATCTATTTTACACAAATATTTTCCATACGAGAATGACAAAATAGGCAAAAAAAAAAAAAGAATGGTGCATTGTCACACCAAGAATCAACACGGATTTTTTTAGTGTGTCATTAAATATATAGTTATTGAAATATATATTTATGGATAATTAATTGGTTGTTATTTATTGATGAATACTAATTATTTATTTAAGTAAATATAAAAATATGATATTTAATTATATTTTTTTCTAACGAATAAATCACAAAAGAAGGTTAAAAGAGAAGTGTGAATGAAAATGTCCAAATGGTGCAATTAAAGAAAGGGAGAAAGTATTTAACAAATTATATAAAATTATTTACGAATTAACAAATTACATAACTATTTAACATTTATATAAATAAATGATTTTTTTAACTATCATTTTTCCCTAGGCCTCCAAAATGTCAAAACGGCTCTGTTACGGAGTAACAAATTGCATACATTCAGACATAATTAGTTTAGGCCCCAAATTACAAATAGAATATATACTGTGCCAATTAATGAAATTATAGTCACAATCAAACAAATTAAATTTATTGGCAAATCAATTTAGAAGTACCAAAATGCTAATACATCAATAAATTAATACATTCCCCATAATCTAACACTTCAACATTTAAGCAATTCGATATTTTAAAATTTAGTTAATAATTAATATCTGTAATTTTTTTTTTCAACAGCAAACTAACAATCTGCAATTCCTAAAAATCTCACTAATGTATTTTGAAAAATCAGATTTGAAATAAAAATACAAATGGGCAAAGTAATTAAAATCAATACTTAAAAAATAACAATGAAAATTAAGAGATAAACGAAACTGAGTTGAATCACAGATCTAAAATTTAGATACTAATCCAATTAAAGAGAGAGAAGGAGGAGAGAGAGAAGAGAATTTTGTCTAGAACTACCCGCACCATAGGGTCATTTGTAAACAACTACCCATTTTTTTATTATTTGTTAACAACTACCCGCAAGTTTGAAAAATTTTGGGTAACACTACCCATTAACGTTTTCCATCCAAAAAACCGTTAGTGAGCCCCACATTATACACGTGTCAATTATTTATTGGATAAAAAAAAATTAAAAAAAAACCCAGCCACCCCAACCACCGTGAAACCCTAGCCCCTACCCCCAGCCACCACCAAAAATCGGTCAGCCGCCCTCCTTAACCTCCGAAAATGGCCAGCCGGAATCGCCTAACCTAAGCGCGAGCTGCACTTTAAGCCTTTGAGACCTAAATTTTGACCTTTTCTTCTTTAATAACTCAATCTTGGCTCTTGAAAACAATTCCCTTGAGGTTAGAACACCCTCAATTCCTAGTCCAAACTCAATACCCAATAGTTCAAGTACCTACAAAAGAAAAGCCAAAGAACGTAAGATAAGGACCATAAGAAAAATCAACTAAAACCGACCAAATATAGGAAATAAAAAAATAAAAGAGTTGAGAACTCGAGTTGCCTCCCGAGAAGCGCTTCTTTATGAGGTCACTAGCTTGACCACGAGAAGGTTTAACTTTCGGTTATAAACTAAGAAAAAGACTAGTTTTTAATCATAATGATGATGGAGTATACCTTACAACCTACTCATGATGCTCTTGAAGAAAATATGCGAAATCGAGTTTTGGTATTGAATCCTGATTTTTTGTATTAATCAAATCACTGAAGGTAGGATTACATTTATACACAAACAGCCTAGTAAATATGGAAACTAATTACCAAAAATACAGCCTAAAAATACTGTAGTCAATATTCTGTTCCTTTAATTAAGGCGCAGAATGTTGCTATTTCCTACACTCCCCCTCAAGTTGGGCAGTCAGTGCTCCAATGCTTAACTTGCGGAAAGTTTCATCGAATGCTTCAGTATTGACTGCCTTTGTCAGAATATCAACTAATTGATCCTTTGATCGGACAAATGGAAGTTTGATTATCTTATCTTCCAATTTGTCTTTGATGAAATGTCAATCTATCTCAACGTTTTGTCATGCTGGACCGGATTTTTTGAGATACTTATAGCTGCTTTGTTGTCACAAAATAATTTACATGTTGTCTTTTGTGAAAAACCAAGTTCATTCATGAGTATCCGAATCCATAGGATTTCAGTTATCCCTTTTGCAATTCCTCTGAACTCTGCCTCTACACTTGACAAGGCCACCACCTTTTGTTTCTTAGTTCTCCAGGTAACCAAGTTACCACCTACTAAAGTAAAGTACCCGGAAGTGGATTTCCTGCCATCACGATCTCCTGCCCAGTCTGCATCAGTGTATGCGATTAGATCAAGATGATCATTTCTGGCGAAATAAATCCCCGTGCTACTTGTACCCTTTAAGTACCTTAGAATTCTCATTACTGCTGTCATGTGTTGTACTTGTGGAAGATGCATGAATCTTCTTACCACTCCTACAGCATAGGCTATGTCTGGTCTTGTGTGAGCTAAGTAAATGAGTTTTCCCACAATCTTCTGATATTGTTCCTTTTTAGCCAGTTTTGCTCCTTCAAGAGTTTGAAGACCGTGATTAGTCACGATTGGTGTCTCAGCTGGTCTGCAGTCCAACATTCTTGTTTCTGCTAGAAGGTCAAGGATATACTTTCTTTGGTGAATAAAGATCCCATGTTGTGATCTCAGAACCTCTATGCCAAGGAAGTATTTGAGAGTGCCCAAATCTTTCATCTCAAATTCTTTAAATAGTTTCCCTTTCAAGTCAGTGATCTCTCCCTCATCATTTCCAGTGATAATCATATCATCTACATAAATTATCAAGCAAGTGATTTTATCTCTGACTCTTTTCAAGAACAGGGTATGATCGGAGTTGCTTTGGGTGTACCCAAACTTCTTCATAGCCTTTGTGAATCTTCTGAACCATGCTCTCGGGGATTGTTTTAGACCATAGAGTGCCTTCCTCAGTCTACATCCTTCCTCATCTCCAAAATCCTAGGAATACCCTGGTGGTGCCTCCATATACACTTCTTCCTCAATACTTCCGTGAAGAAACGCGTTTTTCACATCAAACTGATATAGGGGCTACTCCTTGTTTGTTGCTATTGAGAACAAGACTCATATTGTATCAATATTGGCTACAGGAGAGAAGGTCTCTGAGTAGTCAATTCCATACGTCTGGGTATATCCTTTAGCCACCAGTCGTGCCTTGTATCTCTCAATAGTTCCATCTGCTCGGTACTTGA